TATATATATATATATATATACAGGGCTTGACAATTAGTGTAATCTACTCGCCCGTGGCCAGTAGACTACAAGCTGGCACAGCGGTAAGCGCATGCGCAGCGTGCTGAACTGCGCGGCTTGTGAGTGGGGCTCGCCGCCACTTGGCGAGCCCTGTATATATATATATTTATGTCTGAAGAAATTAAAGCGTGATAAAGGGGATGTGTTTGAGATTGTATAGTCAGAAGAGGCGTGATTACTTATTTATTTATCCTTTGCAGGTATTTGTGTTGACACAACTAATTCCTTGGGCCAGACCGCTTTGTTTACTGCTGCATTGCTAGGACTTGGTAAATTAGTAGATGTGCTCTTGGAGTATGGATCAGACCCAAATCAGTTAAGTATCAGAGGCAGAATTACATCCTTAAATTGAAACAAACTTAAGTTTGTTACAACATCAACTTATTGTCATACACAAGATTTTATTTAGTAACGGTCAGTGAGCAGATGAAAGAGAGAAATAACCTTCATCCAACTGTACTTGTTACAGAGCTGATGGGGAAAGAAAAAAACCCAGGGCCCTGATTTTTTTTATAAAGTATTTAGTCTTTGCTCTGCTTAGTGTTGCATGGCTCATGGCCTAGTCTATACTTAAACATTAGGTTGACATAGAGATATGATGCTCAGATGTGTGAAAAATAGTGCCATAGCAATAGTGACCTCACGTGGTGTAGGTGTGTCTCCTGTCAACTAAGTTGCCTGTCAGGTGGATTACCTACAGTAATAGACAAACACCTTACATCCTTGTAGGAAGCATCTGCAGCAGTTCTCAAACTTCATTGTACTGTGGCCTCCTTCTGACAGCAAAAATTACTACACAAACCATGAGCAGAAACTGAAACTTCACCCCACCCAATCCCTACCATCCTGGGTGAGAGTGGCCAAAGCCCAAGACCTTCAATCCTGTGCCAGGGGCCTATAACCTGAGTCCCAGCACCTATGGCTGAAGCCAAAACCTGAGCCCTGCCTCCAGGGCTGTGTCCAGACTCAGGGGTTTTTTCGGGAAAAGTAGCCTTTTTTCCAAAAAAACTTCACCTGCGTCTAGACTGCAGCCGTGTTCTTTCGAAATTAAATCGAAAGAATGCGGCTTTTCTTTTGACGGTGGTAAACCTAATTCCACGAGGAGGAACGCCTTCTTTCGAAAGTGCTCTTTCGAAAGAAGGCGTTCTTGAAAGCAAACAGGCTTTTTAGAAAGAGAGCATCCAGACTCACTGGGTGCTTTCTTTCGAAAAAGTGGCTTGCTTTTTCGAAATTCCGCGTGTAGTCTAGACGCTCTCTTTCAAAAGAGGCTCTTTCGAAAGTATCTTTCGAAAGAGGCTTGCAGTCTAGACATAGCCCAGGGTAGCTGGGCTTTGCCTTTGGCTTTGGTCCTGGGTACCACGGTGCAGCCATTGGCTTTGACCTGGGGCCCCAGCAAGTCTACACCAGCCTTGGCAACCCCATTAAAATGGGGTTAAGACCCACTTTGGGATCCCGAACCACAGTTTGAAAACCTGTGATCTATGCTGTGACATTGCAGCAATGTAGACACGGTCAAAGTGATTTGGATATTGCGGTGCTTAGCAGAGAAAAGCCTAAATACCTGTAGAAATCTAGGCTCAGGTACCTTCCACTGAAAGCAAATAAAGTGTTTTAGAGAACAGGCAAAGAACTCCATCTAGGAAATACCTCGGGGAAGGTTGTGAATTGTTGAACTTGATGCTGCAGTGGCACAGCTGCAGGTATGCCACTGCAGTCCCTTAGTGGAGAAGTTTCCTATATCAATGGTAGGAAGTACCTGCACTCAGGGGACACATGGGTTTTAACATGACCCCGTCCCAGCCCAGGGAAGGGCCCAGACAACCTGCCTCCACCTCAGGCCCTGCCTCTCACCTACTCTGTCCCCATCCCTCCCCTTTCCCACCCTTGCTTTGCCCCCATCTTACCCCTTCCCCAAGCTGGGGTGTAGATCCAGCTCTCTTCCGCACTCAGTGGCAGAGGAAGTGGAGCATCGTAGCCACAGCTCATTCTGCTCCCCTGGCCATGTCACTCCACTTCCGTGTTGCTTCCCCCTGCCGCTGCCAGTGAGTGCGGGGGGGCTGCGGGGGGTCTGATCCCTGCTGTGGGTGCCAGGCCTCTCTGCTAGTGTCGTTGGATGCCTGGGCACTCTGGCCCTGCCAACTGCTGGTGGGCTTTTTGCCCCTCCTGCCCATGACTTTTGGAGGGCATGTACTCACTGTGCCCCTCCCCACATGTCGCCCCTGTCTGCACTATGTCGATGAAGGTACTCCACCTCCTTGATCAAAGTTAGGTATGTGTAACTACCAACATACCTGGGGACATACATAGTTCAATCTGTTTTAAGTGTAGACTAGGGCTCTGTTTCCAACTCGGTCTTGAGGTAAATGCCTGGTTGAAGTGAATGGCAGAAGGGAATACTGTTCACAACTTTTGCTAATGTTTTTGTTTGTCCCTCAAGAGACAGTTTTTTTACTAGGCTGGATCAGCAGAATAGCATAAAACCTAACTGGAAGTTTGAAAATGCTAAACATTAATCATAGCTTCAGAAGCACCTTCCCAATGAGAGTAAAAAGGCAAAGCTTGTTTTTTGCAGAAAACAGGAGGGCTGTGTCTACACTGGCCGCTTGAATTTCCGGAAAAGCACTGACGATCTAATGTAAAATCATCAGTGCTTTTTTGGAAAAACTATGCTGCTCCCGTTCGGGCAAAAGTCTTTTTCCGGAAAACTGTTCCAGAAAAGGGCCAGTGTAGACAGCAGAGTAGTGTTTTCCGCAAAAAAGCCCTGATCGCGAAAATGGCGATCAGGGCTTTTTTGCGGAAAAGTGCGTCTATATTGGCCACGGACGCTTTTCTGTTAAAAGCATTTCCGGAAAATCATGCCAGTGTAGACGTAGACGAAAAGTGCAGAAAAGCGTATTAAGAAAAGGATGCGATTTTCCTGCCTGCAATTTTCCAGTGCCTGGGGTGACAATAAAAGGCCACACAATTCTCACTCCATACATTTAATCCCCTTTGGCAAGATTAGGGTAGTTGGGTTTTTTTGTTCTAACATAGAAAGGTAGTTTGAAATGCTTCTGTTCTAATATTCCTCAGCCGCTGTTATGATGGCAGCACCCCAGTACATGCTGCAGCATTCTCAGGAAATCAATGGATTCTCAGTAAGTTGTTGGACGCAGGAGGTGATCTGCGAGTACATGATAAAAATGGAAGAAATCCACAGTACTGGGCTATGTCAGCTGGCAAGGAAAGTAGTGCTCAGGTACACATATATGTACACTTCATAGTTTGATCTTGGAAATTGTGTCTGGGAACAAAAATTCCATACCCAGGAAACATGTTTTTTAAGATAATGTTGAATGAATTGCTTTGTGTTACTTTCCGGCTGAGATTATATTCTGAGATCTTAATCATGAAAGCTCAGTGATTTCAGTGGGACTCTACATAATGGCAGAAATCTGCCTGTACTTACAAGCAGGCTATAAGATCAGAGCTATAATGTGAAAATGTGCAGAGATGAGAACTGCAGCAATAGGCCCTGATCTTGCAATCCCTTGCATATTCTATGAATAGTTCTATTGGAGCTGCAGCTACTCATGTATGTGATAGCATACGTGTGTAAGTGTTTGCAGGATGAAGTTCCAGAACTATAAACATTCTGGAATAAATATTACTTATTTATTACTGGAACAAAATGTTATAAGAAAGCTGTTGATTCAAAATTATTGTGTCTTGGTATGAGATCATTTGTCTTTCATTGTGCATATTTTACTGAGAGACCTAGTCTCAGTAATTCAAGAAAGATTGTTCCTTTACTAGAGAATTTACCTGGACTTGCTTGGGTCCTTGTAGGAGCTCAGGGCAGAGGATGGAGTGGGTGCAGGAGTAAGGGCAGGGGGCTGGGAGGTTTGTGGGGGGTCTCTGAGAGGCCACCCGTGGCAGTGGGGGCCATGGTGCCTAGGTGGTTGATGGTTTCCCAGGGCTGCTGTGGACAGTTAGTGGCAGCTCCCCTGAGCTACCTGAAGCTGCAGGGGCTGTGGTGCCTCGTCGGCAGTGGCTCCCCGGGGCCATCATAGTGGCGGATCCATGGTGCCTAGCTGGTGGGCCCACCCAGGCTCCCCTCGTGTCCAGCAATGGGGCTAATGGCCAGGGGTGAGTGCTTTGGGTTCTGGTTTGGGGCATGTAGGTCAGCCAGGAAGGGGGACCAATCATGCCCAGCACCAGCATAGGAGCCTTAGGTGTGGCCATTGGCAGCAACATCCAGAGCCCCTACCCCAGCCTGCCACTATCTTACAGGTGTGCCCACCTCCCTGTGGTCATTCTGCAGTATGTGTGTCCCTCTAGCAGACCCCTCCCTTAGCGTTTTATGAGAAACAGTCGCATTCCAGGCACATCCCATTTTCCTGGCACAGCCAAACTCTGACCTTGCTTTAAGTTATAAGAGGAAGCTGCATAGCAAATTTGGTGCTCTTAGCTCTTACTGTTTAGGAATAGTTCTTGAAGAAACAGACTTACCGTGGGAGACAGATACAAGGGCTGCGTCTACACTGGCATGATTTTGCGCAAATACTTTTAACGGAAAAGTTTTTCTGTTAAAAGTATTTGTGCAAGAGAGCGTCTATACTGGCATGTGCCTTTGCGCAAAAGCATCCGTGCCAGTGTAGATGCTCTCTTGCGCAAGAAAGCTCCGATGGCTATTTTAACCATCGGGCTTTCTTGTGCAAGAAATTAATGTTGCTGTCTACACTGGCCATCTTGCGCAAGAATACTTGCGCAAGAGGGCTTATCCCTGAGCGGGAGCATCAGAGTATTTGCGCAAGAACCACTGATTTTGTACATTACAAAGTCAGTGTTCTTGTGCACATACTCACGGCCAGTGTAGACAGGCGGCAAGATCTTGCCAATGTAGACACAGCCACTGACAGACAGATGCACAAATTCTCTTAAATATATAGTAGATTATTAATTGTGCTGGAATCCAGTAGTTTTATCATTTTTACTTTGGGAATTCTTATTGACATTGGCGCTGTCATCTGCAGGGCTTGAGGTTTGATTTTATTTACATATTCAGACAATTGATTTTTCTTTAAATATATATGTACACAGTGGATGCAGCTTCTTTGTAAATGTGCTGAATTTTGATTGACATCTGCATAATAACTTTCGATCATTTATGGGCAGTAAACAGAGATCCTTCATGATCCTGCTCTAATAAGTTAAAATAGGAACATTTATAACCTAGTATTTTTTGAATGCTTAATGTTTTTCAGATGTTAGAATTTATACGGCGTTGTGCATCACACATGCAAGCTGCAATTCAGAATTTCCCTTCTGATTTACTTAGGAAGGTTGGTTCATCAAAAGTACTTGTCTGCACCCCATCTCTGTTTGGTGGCATTTCTCAAGGGTAAGAATTTAACTTCATAGTGAAGTTTCATCTTATACTTAAGTATACTGAAACTTTATCATGTGTTTTACTTTTTGTTGTCTTTCTTTTTGACAATATCTTTTTTAAAACCAAATCTGCTTTTTAGCCATCCTAACTTATCAGGATTGCTCATCTTTATATGTGGTCATTAGTACCAATTTTTTCTTTCTACAGTAGGGTCAAATGGTTGGTAGTAACTTACACATTTTTCTTAATTTAAAAGGGAACGTTTCACTGAATAAATCAGATACAGATCAGTATTTTATTAATGTTAAGATATCTGGTACTACATACAATTAAATCCATCTATTTTCTTTATCTGTAAGTCACTGCCAATCTTTAGAGGATGTATCTGTAACAGTTTTACATTTTTTACTGGTAAATCTGATGTGTCTAATGGGAAATATCTTTCTGTTAAGTTAAATACTGTCATGGAAAGATTTGAGGTGAATTCAAGATGTCTGCATATTTGCATTTCTATACACCAGCTTTACACAAAATCATATACAAGACAATAGTTGCATGTCAAAATCAAGTTGGTAAAATATGTCTACTTAAAAAAAATAATTCTTCATGTTTCAGCATGCTATAGGGTTGCCATTGCTTGTGAGATTCCTTTCAGCGCTAGTGGGTGCTGAGGGTGGTGTCAGCCAGCAATGTGGGAGTCGTAGCAACCTCATTATTTTTGACCAAGGCCAAATCAAATATCAAGTGAAGAATTTGAAATGGATTTGCTGCAGTTTCTTTCTTTCTTTCTTTCTTTCTTTCTTTCTTTCTTTCTTTCTTTCTTTCTTTCTTTCTTTCTTTCTTTCTTTCTTTCTTTCTTTCTTTCTTTCTTTCTTTCTTTCTTTCTATGGAATGTAACCTTTCAAACAACCATGACCTTCATTAGTAATCTACATGTAGCTATGCTTCTATGTTTTGACATTTAGAACTGCTGACAGTGCTCTGGCTAAACTTCTAAAAGGTGGAGCGAATTCATTAAGAAACATCTACAGTTTTGGGTTTGGGAAGGTAAGACATTAGAGACCATGGACTCCACACTGTTTGATATCTTTTTATTTGTTGAACACAATTAGAATCACATTGTTTCTATTTAAATCCAAACATGGCCTCACATGTATTGTTTTCAGGCTCTGCTAGATATTTCTTATTGTTCACTAAATGGTGGAAAATAAATGGAGACTGATCTAAATGATTATGGAAATCCCAACCCTATAGTTAGAGCCTTGCAAATCCACAGATATCCACTTTATATACGTTTTATATCTTCAGCTAGCCACATCTGCAGATGTTGTGGATACAGATATCTGTGGCTCATTTTTGTGGACATGGATATAAATTTTGTGTTGAGAACCCTACAAATTTGCAGCTGTCCACTTTATAGCCGCAGATATCCGTGGATCATTTTTGTGGAGGCGGATATTAATTTTGTTTCCATGCAGGGCTCTGCCTATAGTCGTTAGATAGGTAATGGCATAGAGAGTTCACTTATTAAGTTTGCAGATGTTATCAATCTGGGAGGGGTTGCAAGTACTTCGGAGGATAGGATCATAATTGAAAATGATCTGGACAAACTGGAGACATGGTCTGAGGTAAATGGGATAAAATTTAATAAGGACAAATGCAAAGAACTCTACTTAGGAAAGAACAATCAGTTTCACACTTACAGAATGGGAAGTGACTATCTAGGAAGGAGAGCGCAGAAAGGAATATAAGGGTCATATTGGACCACAAGCTAAATATGAGTCCTTGACACTGTTGCACAAAAAGCAAATGTGATTCTGGGATACATTAACAGGAGTGTTGTGAGCAAGATACGCGAAGCCATTCTTCTGTTCTACTCTGCACTGATTAGGTCTCAGTTGGGCTACGTCTAGATTGCATCCCTTTTTCGTAAAAGGGATGCAAATTAGACGTATCGCAATTGCTGATGAAGCGGGGATTTAAATCTCTCCCGCTTCATTAGCATAAAAATGGCTGCCGCTTTTTTTCGGCACGGAGCTTTGCCAGAAAAAAGCGCCAATCTAGACGTGGATCTTTTGGAAAATAAAAGCCTTTTCTGAAAGATTCCTTATCCCTTATTTTAAGAGAGATAAGGTGTCTTTCGGAAAAGGCTTTATTTTCCGAAAGATCTGTGTCTAGTCTGGCGCTTTTTTCTGGCAAAGCTCCGTGCCAAAAAAAAGCAGCAGCCATTTTTATGCTAATGAAGTGGGGGAGATTTAAATCCCCGCTTCATTAGCAATTGCGATACATCTAATTTGCATCCCTTTTACAAAAAAGGGATGCAATCTAGACGTAGCCTTGGAATACTGTGTTCAGTGCTGGGCACCACATTTCGAAATGCATGTGGTCTACAGCATTAACCTATAAGCTTTTGCTTATCAGTTAATCGACTACTCTATTACATCCCTACTACAGACCTGCAGAAGATATGAACTAGAGACCAAACATTAAATGCCTCCATACTTCATTACCGATTCCCCTTTTCCATTCCACATGCAGATAAGATGCAGTTTCCAAGAAAGTATACCTTAAAATCTTTTGTTTTAAATAAAACCTATCAACCTGCATTTTTAAATGGACAGGAATTTTACAAATACTAAGCTGATGGAGTGTGCTCCAAAAATCAAGGCATACTGTTAAATTTTTTAAACAACGAGATTTTTTTTTTGCGTTTTTCTATTGACGTTTATAAAGGATCTTTACAAAAAGGGAGAAAATGACTGATTATACAAGAACAACAACAAAAGTTCTGTATGCAAATCACTGCATACTTAAAGCTTGAAGGAGTCCTGACAGAGGGATTTATTTTGAAACAAACAAAAGATACTTTAAGAGGTAGGGTGGAAAGATCCCACTTGTGTGATTCTGAGGTGGCAGCTTCTGCTGTGTTCAGTTCAGATTCAGTAGAAAGATCCTTTTGCATATAGTCTTTAAGCCAATTAAAGGCCGTTTGGGATGGTCCCACTTTTTATGTTTTTGGCTAATGTTTCCTTGTGGATGCGTGTATATATAGCACTAAGACAAACAGTTTTTTAGCTTCAAAACATTTTTCACAAACCCTATCTGATTCTCACAACACTCTAAGATCACACAGTTGGTCTGTGGCAGAGCTGGGCCTAGAGCCCAGGAATTGCTGAATATTTCTCCGTGTTATACAGTGTATGGTTTTGTCTCAGTTTTATCTAACAGGCAGTACACAGCTTGGGTACCTGGCATCTCTACCTATCATTGGAGATAAAGAAGTGTTTCAGGCAGATGATGAGCCAACATTCTCTTTCCACACTGGACCATACATGATCATGACAAAGTGAGTGGACTCTTCAACAGTTGTCATGTGTTGTTTAATACACATCATCAGCAAACTGCTGGAACAGATGGCTTGTCTGGATTTTTTCCTTTTTCCATAGGGTATGGTTATATAGCACACTAAGCCTGAGCTCTGACTCAGGTTTGAGCCCAAGGTCCCCTTCTGTCCACACACAAATAGAATCTGCTTGTGTCAGTAAGCACTCAGGACCCATATTCTAGGACTCTGCTAGGAGTGTGGGTCAGAGTTCAGGTCCTGCTGTTACTTAGGTCCGAGCCTTGTCATTTTGACACAGGTCGAACCACAGACCTGAGTCAGAAGGTCTGCATAGGGTAATATGGTCATGTTACTTAGCATGACTTGTGAGACCTAAGTCCAGCAATTATAAACACAGGTTTAAAATCCAGCCTGGACACTCAAGTATAGGCTTGCAAATACCAGGTTTATAACCCTGAGTCCCATTGACCTGGGTTTACAGTTCAGTGTAGACATTAGGGTTGTAAAAAAGGTTTTAAAAAAACTGTAATTGTTAAAAATCCTAGCAGTTACATGGTTAACCATGTTTGGTTTGGTGAGACTAGGGAGGGAAGGATTATGAAGAGATGCCCCATGCTGTGGGCTATGATACTGCAGAGCCTGCAGAGGAGTTTAACTGTCATGGAAACGGATAAATCGATGCTTATCGGTTAAACGGTCAAACTCTTAAATCCATAGTAGACATACCCGTAAATACCCAGTAATCATAGAACCTGGGGATGGAAAAGTCCTAAGTTTATTTCATCTCCCTACCACTGGAGGTTTGTCTCTGTTGCCTCCTTTTAATACTTACTGATTACTTGGGCTGCACCATCTGCTCACTATGCCCGCCTACCCCCCTCTTCCTGGTCACTTTTGCTTCACTGAGAGAGCCTCTTGACGCTGATGATGCGATGACATCATTGTGTCACCTGGCAGGAACATTCTGTCATCTGTTAGGAAAAACTTTTTTATATATGTAGAGAGGTTATCAAGCACTCCTCCCTTCCACATTAATCATTAAACCAGACTTGTACGTATTTTGTCCTATTAATGTTTAAATAATAATAAATGTATTGGCTAATATTGGCCTCTTGGTGGGGCTCATAAACTGTATTTAGGATGAGTTGAGGCTCCAGGGTGTACCTGAATGTACACTCAATTGTTCAAACCCTGAGTGAGCTGACTAGAGAGTTGCAAGTGCAAAGCAGATCCCTTTTTGCCTTTGCTGCTGCAGCAGCAATTCTGCCAGAAAAGGAGCGTTCAGAGGGTTAGCTGGGTTGGTGAGCTATTCCTTCCCAGCATATGTAGTCTGTCTCCCAGTGGGTTAATATTGCCTCTGTGAGGAATGCTTCATGGTGTCATGAGTTTTTGCCTAGGACAGTGGGGATGTGATTTGTCTAGCTGCACTCCTCTGCCTCTCTCCCCAAAACATGTCTCTGGCTCGCTGCAGCTAGTCTTTGGCAAGCTGGGAATTTATTGCTTGTCTAGGAAACTGTGAACCTGTTGCCAGGGTTATTGAAACACTGGCATGTTACTAACAGCAAGAGACAGATTTGTAACCTGGAGAAGCTTTGCTACTGTTTGTAAGGGATGCTGTTACCAAAGAACCTATTGGACACATGGAGTGACAAGAGTCTCCTCTCCTCTTGTAGCTTAATGTGGGGCAGCAGCAGAGTTACAGTGAAGGAGCTCAGCCTTAAGCCACATCAGAATTGCAGTAAGCGACGTTTAGCTGATCTTTTAATAGCAGAACAGGAATATAGCAGGTAAGAAGGAATATACAATGCTTGCAATATATCAGGTCTTTGGGAATCTCTGGTACCTGCAAGAAAGTACAGGTCACGTTGGCCTAGCTAATAATTGGCTCAGGAAATAAGAGATCATTGTTACTCCTTTCTCTGGAATTGGCTGTTAGAGTTCTACTGTTCTTTCCCTTCTTGATCTTTTCTGAAATGTGCAGTGGGAGGTGAAATGTGGAGTAGTCTGGATTCCTCCCCTCCCCCAATCCCTAGAAGTACTTTCCTGCCCAGCTCCTGGAAAATATAATTGCACGTTCTTACAGTGTCACCAGTAAAAACATCAGTGTGTCTGTATGAACAGTTTTCCTACTGCCTGTTTTGCTTATTCTACATGGATAGCAATATCCAAGAGGCTAGACATTTATTTCTCTTTTAATACGATGTCTTAATTGTGTGATGATATTAGGATTTTTCTGCTTTGCAGTAAACTTCGTCATCCTCATTTGCTGCAGTTGATGGCAGTTTGTCTGTCCAATGATCTGGAAAAAACTCGTTTGGTATATGAGAGAGTTAACTTTGGTTCGCTATATAGCATTCTACATGAAAGGGTAAATGGAACTATTTTTTTTATTTATTTTTAAACTGAAAATTACCTGTAAGTAAGATATTTTACTGGAGACCAGCATCCCCTGCTAAATTCATCTAATTGAGAGACTCATTCTTTACTTAGAAATGAAATGTGAGAAATCCTAACTCTCCTTACATATTGTAAGGACTTGTCTCATCACACAGCAGTAGCCACTCCCTCAGTACACCTCATTCTGCAACTGGAGAGATTTAATACAGGAGTGGATTTCTTGGTGCTTAGTTGTGGAGAAAAGGTTTAGGCTACATTAGGGCATATCTACACTAGGAAATTATTTCAAAGTAACTAAATTTGACTTAACTTCCAGTCTTACAAAATCAAAATCGTGTGTCCCCACTACGGGGAAGCCTTGAAATTAGTCTGAGACAGGTCCCGTTAATGTGGATGTACTACCTCGACTTTGAGCCCCAGGAAGCATTGGGGAGTAATTAGTTTGAATTACTCTGGGGAGTAGTTACTTTAAAACTGTGGCACTGGAGCATCCACACTAATGCTATTTCAAAATAACGATTTAAAAATTAGTGTTATTCTCCAAGGAAAGCAGTAGAGATCTCAAAATAATGGGTTTGGTAGTGTGGAAGCTCCACTTATAAATTTGACGTAAGGATGGTTATTTTGATATAATACCTTAGTGTAGACTGGGTTTAGTGTCTTCATCATTCTTTTCATAAACCCAGGCTCTGGGAAGGGTTGAATTTTGACTCTACATAGTGGGTGGACTGTTTGAGAGTAGAGTGGGATAGGCACCTACCCTCCCTTCCCATAATAGGCAGTATAGCCTGCTCTTTGAGAAATAATATGATAGGCATGAATCCAGTTTTGTTTCTTGGACATTCACCGTAACTTGCCCCCATTGCAGATGCAGGGAAGTGTCAGAATTAGTAGGAGTTCAAGGGTTAGTAGTTTGGTATTAAGCTTGTATGACTGTATAATAACAGTTTAGCTTTTACTCTTGGGCTTTGCTCACCAATTACCAGATTCCTATGTTGTGGTAATTGACTTGGGAGTCTGAATTATTACCTTGGAAAACAGAGGGGCAGTGGTTTTGCTTGACTTTCAGTAGAAGCATCCCAAGGTCTATATTATTGTTCAAAAAGGATGTTTGATATGTGCATGTGTAGGAGAGTGTTTTCTGTATTTGGAAACATCAGCAACAGTTTACCTGGAATTGGGGGTGAAGTCAGGGGAGCTCAGGGCTGGCCTGGCCCTGGGATCTTTGGTTTGGTTGGGGCACAGCAATCACACTGCCCATCCATCTGAGCACCTGAGCTGGTGATGAGGTCAGGGGCTCGGGTTGTGAGTGGTTTGGGCTCCTGTGAGGGAGGAGAGTAGAAGCGGAGGAATAGGCTGCCCATGCCCAGCACTGGTACGGGAACCATACCCGTGTATGGTGGACAGCAGCCTCCAGAGCCCTACCCCCAGCCAACCACTCTGTTATTGGGAGCTGGAGCACAGCAGGCTAGGAGATGGGCGGTGGAGTGGAACAGACTGTTGGCTCACTCCAGCACCCATCTCCATAGTGAGTAGGGGGGGGGTTGACCCCTGCTGCTGCCCCATGCCAGGCCCCCACCAGGTAATCCCCGGGCTGACCTGGCTCCTAGGGTCCCATCCATAGGACAGTTGAGGCAGATGCCATTGGCCACCCAAAGTGACTAGGAATATAGGTCAGATCAGGGCAGAGGGCTGGTGTGTATGCAGAGCATGAGCCAGCATTAGCTTACCTGACCGATCTTTACCCCATTGCTCCTGTTTGCTGCCAAGGGAGCTGTGGACTAGCTCTGCAGGGGCACTGCTGCAGGCAAATGGGCAGTATCATGGGAGACCCCGGTCTGGTGCTCCCTTCCCCTGGTTTCTTCCCAGGAGCTGTGGGCAGCAGTGCATGCCAGGAGTTGCACATGCATTGCCCAGCGGCCAGCAAGAGAGGAACAGCAGAATAGGCACATCCTCGGAGCCTGGCTGGGAGTGTGCACGCATCCTGCAGCATGCTCCCAGATGGCCCCTTCACACCTGCCTGCCTGCTGCTTACTATGGCATGCTGGGCCACCAGTGCCAGCCTACAGCAGGAGCTAGTGGGACCCTACCTGACCTGTGCACTACAAGCTGTGCCACACAGGGCCATCTGCAGAGGCGCGCCGAGTAATGTATCAGTCCAGTCTTATTTCCACCTGCGGTGTTACCTTAGCAAAATTATCAGAGTAATTTTCTTGGTGAGGCAAAACAGTATGCCCTTTGCTGGAGATTTTAGTTAAATACACCCATTTATTTTTTCACTTAATTTCAGCCACTATCTTGCATTTAGTTCAGTGCTCTCCAACCTTTTTAACCACAAGATCACGTTTTCAATGTAAGATCCACCTCAACCCAAAATACCCTTGCCCCACTTCTTTCCCGCCCCTTCTTTAAGGCTCCATCTCTGCTCCACCCCTTCTCCCAGGCCTCACCCTGCTCACTCCATTCCCCTTCCTCCCTCATTCTCACTCACTTCCAGCAGGCTGGGGTAGAGGGTTGGATGCAGGCTCTGGTTTTGGACCAAAGAGTTTGGAGTGTGAACATAAGAACGGCTGTACTGGGTCAGACCAAAGGTCCATCTAGCCCAGTATCCTGTCTACCGACAGTGGCCTGTCTTCCAACAGTGTGGGAAGGGCTCTGGGTTTAGCCCAGGGTGGGAGGTTGGGGTACAGGAGTTGTTTCAGGGTGCAAACTCTGGGAAGGAGTTTGGGTGAGGGGGACTTGTGTTTGGGACAGGAGTTTGAGTGTAGAAGGGGGTCAGGGCTGGGACAGGGGTTCAGGAAGCAGCCTCTGGCTTGGTACCACTTAACGGAGATGGCTTCTGGGTGGTGGAGCAGTGGGGTTGAGGCAGCTTACTCCTGCCCTGGCCCCGCACCACTCCTGAAGGCAGCTGGCATGTACAGCAATGATTTCATGGTGCCATGTGCTGTCCCTCATCTACAGGCACTGAGCCTACAGCTTGTACTGGCCACGGTTTCCTGTTACTGATCAATGGGAGCTGCAGGAGCAGTGTCTGCAGGTCCAGACAGGCTGTGGAGACCCCCTGCTCTGCCTCTCTCAGGAGCTGCAGGAACATGCCAGATACTCAAGGAGCAGCAGTTACCACAGGGATAATGATTCCAGCCATGACAGATTAGGCATTTGAGAACTCACTACAACAGAATTAAATTTAAGCATAAGAGAAAAATGAAAATGATGAACTGCACAGACCAGTCAAAAACCAAACGTAACTTTGCAACCATTAACAGAAGTAACTGCAACCCCCCTTGGCTGTGTCTACACTGTTGCGATCTTGCGCAAAAGCGGCTGTTCTTGCACAAAAACTTGCTGCCTGTCTACAATGGCCGCACGTTCTTGCGCAAGTAAACTGACATTCTACTGAATAAAATCAGGGCTTCTTGCGCCAAACTCTCATGTTCCCGCTCAGGAAAAAGACCTTTTGCACAACTGTTCTTGCGCAAGAGGCCGGTGTAGACAAGCAACATGAATTTCTTGCGCAAGAAAGCCCTATGGTTAAAATAGCCATCAGAGCTTTCTTGCGCAAGAGAACGTCTATACTGACATGGATGCTCTTGCGCAAAAGCACATGGCAGTGTAGACACTCTTGTGGAAGAGTTTTTGCACAAGTACTCTTCCGCAAAAGAGTTCTTGCGCAAGAAGCTGCCAGTGTAGACGTAGCCATGCATGTGTGTGTTGGGTCAGGAGACGAGAGTGAAGGACAATGTCACTGCATCTAGACTGGCAAGTTTTTCCACAAAATCAGTCACTTTTGTGGAAAAACTTGCCAGCTGTCTACACTGGCTGCTTGAATTTGTGCAAGAGCACTGACTATCTAATGTAAGATAGTCAGAGTTCTTGCGCAAATACTATGCTGCTCCCGCTCGGGAAAAAGCCCTCTTGCGCAAATGCTTTTGCGCAAGAGGGCCAGCGTAGACAGCTAAAAACTGTTTTGCGCAAGAAAGCCCTGATGGCAAAAATGGCGATCGGGGCTTTCTTGTGCAAAAGTGCATCTAGATTGGCACGGACGCTTTTCCGCAAAAAGTGGTTTTGTGCAAAAGCATCCGTGCCAATCTAGACGCTCTTTTCCGCAAATGCTTTTAAAAGTTTTTCCGTTAAAAGCATTTGCGGAAAGTCATGCCAGTCTAGACGTAGCCTGTGTGTTTGTGAGAATGACAGAGGCACACAATGTGTGAGTGACAGATTAAAGAAAAAAACACCCCCCCCCCCCCCCATGTATGTGTTGGGTCAGGAGATGAGAGTGAAGGACTCTGTGTATGTGTGAGAGAATGACAGACACACACAATGTGTGAGTGACAGATTTGCATTGCCGAGCTCCCTCCATCCCCTTTTCTCTGTGTGGAGATAGGGAACAGAAGTGGGGCGAGGAGGGACACCCTGACATCAGTGCCCCCCTTCTCTCTCATACTGTGCACAGGAAGCAGGAGACTCTCAAGGGGGCCTGTAGATGATGTCCTAAACCCACCCACCTGCTTCATAGAGCGGCACACCAGCCCTCACCTTCCTACTCGACTTGGAAGGTGAGTGGCATGGCTGCTCCCGTGACCAGGGCCACATGGTGGTAGCTGGCCCAGGCTCAGGTCTGGGGTTGCTTTGGGGGGCGGCTACTGCTGAGGCTGCATAGTTAATTTAATTGGAGACTGGTAGATAGTTAACTGCCTTCTCCTGTCTGAGAGGGAACCTGTTTGGGCCCAGACTGTAAAAAAGATTATAATCAAGTATCCTTAGTTCCTCATATAGTGTTGATGCTGACATTTCACAATGCTATTAATCACCAGTGTGCCATTAGCTTTCAGAAAAGGCCTCACTCTATGCATTTTTATAATACAGTAGTATTATATAGCATCAGTTGATTCAATTAATTGCTTATTACTTGAAGTTCAAATCTCCTCTCATTATAGATCAGTAAATCTTTTAAATAGATTCTTCTGAGGGTCAAGCCTCAATGGGAAGTTTATTCAGGGTGAGAAGATGACATGGAGTTGTGGTGAAGAAAGCTCCACCCCTTCCAGGGCAGCCCAGGGCCACTTCAAAACTTTCAGAAGTGGCCTCCGGTCATAAATTATTGTCCACCCCAATCTAGGGTAGAGTAAACAGAGGGAGCCCTTGGTTCATGACAGCACAGCCGAATGTCCAGAGTCAATTGAGACAGCCTTTGGTTCAGGGCAGCACAGCCCAATGGTGATAGTCAGTTGTTTAGGACAACAGCTCCAGTAGGGGAACTGTAGTGGGTTGGAGTGGCCACCCACTGACCCCGAGGGGGAGGCGCCCCTCCCTGCTGCTGCTCCTAGGGGCCTGGGCCAGGGCACAGTGGCGTGGGCGGGCCTATGGCCCCCCTCCCCCCCCACCATTTGGGTGGTAGCTTCCCCCTCTCCACTATTGCTGGCAAACTTCCTGCAACCCTCCTGAGCAAGGAGACCTCCCTTGATTACTAGGCCTTGATAAACTGCTGGGCCTTACAAACTGTTGACCTGCGGCCCCACCCTGAACCAGAGATGGGCCTTAATTAACTGTTGGGCCTTCTAAACTGTTTGCTGGCTGCCCCATCCTGCCCTGACCAAGGGCTAGGCTTATAGATGCTTTACTGGCAGCCGCGCCCTAAGCTAGGGCTGGGCCTCTGCCTCGCATTTGCTGGCCTGCCCCAAACCCAGGCTGCCTTTGTTATCGTACTTTTGTCACCCCGCCCTGAGTAAGAGCAGGGACCCTGGACTGGTTATTTGTTGTGTTAATTCCCCCCAGAGACTGATCCAGGTGTAGTGGGTTGGAGTGGCCACCCACTGACCCTGAAGGGGAGGCACCCCTCCCAGAGCTGACCAGCTTGGGTCAGGGCTGACCCATGCCCACCATACTCCACCAAGCCCTGATCTAGGGCCCTGGGAGTGGCAGAGTGCTCCATCACTCAGTGAGGAATCTGACTGCAACACTCCAAGCTCATTCAGGTGGGAGATACCACTCCAGCACCCTCTCTGGGTCACTTCCTACCAGTGTTGGTGTGGAGATGTTCCATGTGGTCTCTGGGTCCTCTGATTCCACCGCAACCCCCTGGGGCTCCTCCAGCACTGGCAGCTCGAGGAAGTCTCTCAGGTCTGTATCTGGAGGTCCTTCTCCTCCCATGTCCAACACAGAGTAAGCTGAGCTATTCCCTTTTATACTGCTCCAGCATTTGGAGCATGCCCAGTCTTGGGGGAGGGGCGGGGTTTCCTCTGTCTCAGGGTTTTAGCCCCTCCTGGTACAGTGCAGGTTATGCATACCCCATCACAGGGTCCTTAACTCAAGTAAGTGTTTTGGTTTTCATCATTTAAATAATTGTTCTGGGTTGGGGCTGACAATCAGGGATTCAGTATGCAGGTTGCCCTGGAGAGAGAGGATAACCCCGTCCCTCGCTCACCGCAACAGCTTGGGGCCAGATAAGAAGCTCACACCTGGGGGAGGGGTGCATGTCTCCCAGCTCGGGGACACACAGACTCTGAAATATATTATATATAGCTGTTCCTTTCTTCACCCCTGCCAGCCCAGTGGGGTTATAGCTTTCCCAGTTCCCATCTCTGGCCCCTTGCTTCCCCTCTGTGGTCTGCTGTATAATTCCCTCCTACCTGACCCCTCTGTTTCCATTTTACAAGAACAACCTAATTTCATACACATCTCATTATTCTGACACAACACAACCCTGACTTTGCTTTAAATTAGGATAAGAGGAAGCTGCATATAAAATGTGACCATCCTAGCTCTTACCATTTAGGAGGAGTTCTTGAACAAATGGACTGATAGTAAGAAGATGAGATAATCACACATGATTTTCTTTAGGATAGGCTTAGTTCACAATTCCACCTGATATGCCTAGTTTAAACACAACTTAGTCATAATTCTAGCATATATCCGTAACTCTGAATACATACTGTTTACATACATTACACAAGAATATTAATGATCAATGAGTTATTAGGTTTCAAATGATACCTCCTAAGTTATATTTTGTACACAGATTATTTCAGTAATGTGTAGGGTGTGATTGCAAGAGTGTTTAGTGTCACAGTAGGCTAAAAAGTAAAGGGGTTAATCTGCAGAAAGCGAGATTTGGGTTAGATGTTAGGAAAAATCTTTCTAACTATAAAGACAGTTAAACTCTAGAATAGACTTCCAGATAAGGGGTTGGAATTCCCATGGTTGGAAAATTTCACGTATAGGTTGGACAGATACCTGTCAGGGATGATTCAGGTTTACTTGTCCTGCCTCAGCTCAGGGGGTTGGGAGGTCCCTTTTAACCCATATCTTTGTGATTCTAGATGTAGCAAAGGGCAGATAAAGTTGAGTTACAACACTGAGTAATAGGTTTTATCAATTATTTTACATTCTGTTGTTGTCAATGCTGATAGTCTTTCCCTTCCCTTTCTCATGACTGCTTTCCTACTTTCCCTCGCAAAAGGGGGAAGTATGTAAAATATTATCACTGAGGTAGAGAAATAAAACACAAAGTTGAGAAATTCCAAAAGCTGTTTTTCTATTGCTATATTATCTTTGGCATGTTGCATGTATGTATTATTTTCTATTTTTAACATAATACTGTTTGGTTTCACAGAACTTATATAATAGTCTCCATGAGCAAACCTTCATTTTTTATTTCTCCACCTATAATGTTACATTAACAATAGCTTTTGCGTTACATTAATCTCCAGTTCTTGGCAATGTGAATGCTTGAATTGTCTGGCTTTTTTTTCAGCGTTCAGAATTTCCAGTATTGCACATGGAGACAATTGTGCATCTACTGCTTCAGGTTAATGATGCTTTGAGGTTTTTGCAGTCACGTGGATATATCCACCGTTCCCTCACCTCTTATGCTGTACAGATTGTTTCTGCTGGTGAGGCAAAGTTAACCAACTTGGAGTACATGATAGAAAGGTAAAGAATTATTACATTGTTTCTTGGAAAGACAGATGGGTGAGGCCAAACTGAGGACGAAATTCTGTTGTCAGGCTGGTCCTGCAGCTCTCCTAATTACTTGTGGAGCTGCATGCATGAATAAGGCCTCAGGGATCCTTCCTAATCTTTCTTTGACAGCATTGCAGATTTGACTGTAAGGAGAGGGTTTTCCACATCTCCATTGCTTAAATACATGATCAGAGCTCATTCAGTATCACAAGTTTCCGGTGATCTCAGTTTTCATGGCTTCATTATAAATACCTGAAAATAGGAATGTAATATTATACACATTTAAATGGTTAAATAATAAGCATGAGCTTATCAGTTACAATAATGGTTACAAGCAGCTTTCAGCCCCGCTGCCACGGAGCTAGCTGCCACCCTGCACTCCTGATTCTGTGTCAGAGGCAGCAGCACAGGGCAGCAGGGCTGCAGGTGGGAGCTGGCTCTCTGCACACGCCAGCTCCTAGGGAGAAGGCTGCAGCTCTGCATTATGGCTCTGCAGTATACTGCAGATCCTGCAGTGCAGCCTGCTGCCAGGGAGTGGAGCTCCTGCTTTATACTGCTATATACTGCAGAGCCTGCAGCTTGTAACTGTGTAACCGCTAAGGTTGTCAGTGGTTACAAGACTACCTAATTAACTGCTTTTTAATATCCCTACCTGAAAATAGAGGCTAACAATAGAAAAGGCTTTCTACTCCACTCTAGTGTAAAGGTACTGGAATAGACACACAGAACAGAAAATGGAACCTGCATCTAGTCATAGAATCATAGAACTGGAAGAGACCTCAGAAGGTCATCAAGTCCAGCCCCCTGCTCTAGGCAGGACTAATTCCAACTAAATCAACCCAGCCAGGGCTTTGTCAAGCCGAGACTTAAACACCTCTAGGGATGGAGACTCCACTACTTCCCTGGGTAACCCATTCCAGTGCTTCACCACCCTCCTAGTGAAATAGTTTTTCCTAATATCCAACCTGGACCTCTCCCACCACAACTTGAGACCATTGCTCCTTGTTCTGCCATCTGTCACT